TAGCAACGAAAATAATGTTATGGTTGGGGGGGCCACCGCAACATGAGGTACTGTATAAAAGGATCATGGCATTAGGAAGGTTGAGAACCACTGGCTTAAATACAGTATAACTGAAAATGGGTGAAGGGTGTTTAATCAATAATGTCCTCTGAGGATGTAAGTTATTTTCTATCCAAATTATATGCAATGAACCCCAAATATGATACAGTGTACAATGCACTTTCCAAAAATTAACCCTCTTCCTCACAACTCTGAATAGTTACACCACCCATTGAAGAACAACGAAGTGGAAAGTGAAGTGATTTGTCTAAGACTACACAATGGATTCTCTGAACCCAAATTCAAACCCCATGTTTCTATTAGTCCAGTGTTCTTTCCTAATCGACTCAACTACTGTATAAATCCCTCCCTCTCGTTTCTTGTTGGTTAAAGCTTGTACTATTTCTCACATCACTGACTCCAGAGTACAAAAGCAACTAAAGGTCATTGACTCACACAGCTTTCCTCTTCCCAAATACTAATCCCTATGAAAAACAAAATCAGAGAAGTGTCAGAATTTTAAATATTATTTTAGGCCCGCTGCTTTGAAAACACAGTAATCTTTACAACTGCCCCAGTCCAAGACTGTCAATATAATCACAAATTTCTCTGAATGCCTGCACAGGGTCCAGTTCAATCACTTGCGTCTTTATCGAGCCACCAGCTAAAACTTATTAAAGGAGTCTCTAAAAAATAGGATGGTGGTCAGACAGAAAAAGACATGGGAGAAAATTATGATGGGACCATTTTCAGGAAGAAACAGAGATCAAGGAAAACTCTCAGGCTTGTTCTTCACCCTCAATTCTTTTTTTATAATATCCATACAGCTCAAAAAAAATATCCATACAGCTCTTTATTTTGTAAGTTGAACACGTGATTACTATGGGTACAAGAATAAAACAAATATCTCTGAAATAAGATACACAAGAAATTCAAAATAGCATTCCAGGAACTTCAATTATACTTCAGCAGAACTAATTATCCACTACTGCAAAAAACACTATATCAAACTAAAAAAACAAACAAACAAAGGTATATACCACCAGCCTTCTCAAATAATAATTCTAAATGCAACCCCAAATACAGCCACCTTAGGGTTTACCAGAAAATACTTCAGAGTATCTAGCACAGAAATTTCAACGCTAGAAAGAACTGAAAGATTGACAATTCTGGTGCTCCTTTTTTAAAAATGAAGATGGTTGGGGTGTAGAGAGGTTAAAATGGCTTACCTAAGATCATACTGCTAAGTAACAGATCAAGGACAAGAACCTAAGGCTCCTGACTCCCTATTCATTTATCCTTTCCATTTAAGCTAATGGAGGTACCAACATATTTTTCAAGTCACAATCTTTTTCACGCAAGTGTAACTTTTCTTTAACTATTTCCTTGAATGTTGTCTGCAACTCTGTGAACTTACATCGGGGGAAGATAATAAAAGTAACCGCTCAAAGAACAATTGTCTGCATGCAGTGCAAAGCAAAGCACAAGGAAATTCTAACCCATTTGAATGCCTTTGGTGCAGTGATGCTATCAGAGCTAATGTGTGTCAGCTGAGTGCAGGCACTGAAAGCCCCGCATTGTAGTGAAAGACAGGTTGAAAAGGTTATGGCGCTAGCATTTAAGTGTGCTACCTGGTCTCCACTGTTTGTCCACTCAGCGAACAGAGCAGGCTTTATTCCATCTCATTCTTCAACTTCAGTTTGGAAGAACCATTTCCAGAGATGATAGTTCAATATTATAGTTCCAATTCTTAACACCATACTGAGATTCCCCAGAAAAGGAATGTTTGCCAAAAGAAACAGTATGTCTATCTATGCTAACAGATACAGATAAAGCAGGCTTCTGTTCCCCTCCCCTCCCACCAATGTTCAACTATGCATCAACAGTTAAATTCTTGCACCTGTCAATTCAGATAAACTAATGTGAACTCCCTTGACATTCATAAGAATGTAAAACAGACTGTAAAAAGTCATAAACCACCACCACAGCTGGAAAATACTGGAAAAGTTGCAGAGCCCTATGTTTTCCTGACTGTCAGCACCTATATACCTACAGGAAAATGTTCTTAAGCTGTCTCTCTGGTATTAATTCCACCCTAGCTACTGAAGTAAAAACAAAGTTTGTTTTAATTTACTAGTTGATAGAAGAGGCAAATTTACTTGACGTGGAAGAGCAGTCAAATTCAAATATGCATCCAAATGCCCTTTCCACGGTACTCTGGTGGCGGATGATGCAGTGGGGTAAGTGTTGGGTGGCTAACAGCAGGCTATGGCAGTTTGAGTCTGCCAGCTCCTCAGGAGGAAGATAAGGAAAGCAACCGAAACTAAGAGTGTACAGCCTCAGAAGGTCTAAGAGCAGTTCAACTCTGTTCTATAGGACTGAGGAGTCAGAATCTACTCAATAGCAGCAGGTTGGGGGTCCTTTTCACCTTTTAGAGAATCTAACTTCTAAAATGTTGAATTTGGGATCTCTTCATTTCCTAGGCAACAATTCTTAACCAAAAAAAATGTAACTTCACTGATTAGAAAGGAGGATCTGTGAGAGATGGATCCTTTTAAATGAAGAGGAAGTGGCAGGAAAGAGGGAAGGAAGGAAGAAAGGCAGTGAGTGTGGGCTGGAAGAAGAGCACTGAACCTATGAAGCAGTGACAGGGCACTGCCATTAAAGTCAACCGATGACACCATCCATGCAAGAGGGTGTGCTAGAAACAAGGTGTCCCAGGGGTGCACTGGTTGGATAAGTGCTTGACTAGCAATGGAAAGGTCAGTGATTGGAACCCACAATTGTTTGGCAGAAGA